TTTTATTGATTTTTTACAGAGAGGAAGGGAGAGGGATAGAGAGTTAGAAACATCAATGAGAGAGAAACATTGATCAGCTGCCTCCTGCACACCCGCTACTGGGGATGTGCCCGCAACCAAGGTACATGCCCTTGACCGGAGTTGAACCTGGGACCCTTCAGTCCACAGGCCGACGCTCTATCCACTGAGCCAAACCGGTCAGGGCTCCTTATTGTTTTTTAAATATATTTTTATTGATTTCAGAGAGGAAGGGAGAGGGAGAGAGAGGAACATCCATGATGAGAATCACTGATCGGCTGCCTCCTGCACGCCCCCCACTGGGGATGGAGCCCACACCCGGGCCTCTGCCCCGACCTGAATGGAACCGTGACCTCCTGGTTCCCAGGCCAACGCCCAACCACGGAGCCTTGGCTTCCAGCCCTCTCTGGTCATCTTCTCACCTTGAAAGGGTAAACAGTTTGGAATTCTTGGTACAATTTTTGCTTGAAAAGTGAAGACAGTTTCTATGAGAACGGAGCGCTCTGCAGTGATTGAGTGGGATTGGTGACTAATTCACGGCCGCTGTCCACGCGGCTCCCACACAGAACGCTTCCATAAAGCACAATTACACGCTGGCAGCTCACAGGTTACGGGACATCAACAACGGCGCCTTCTGTGAAAGTAAACGCTCAGGCGGACTTGGCTGAGGGGCGAGGGCGGTCGGGGCTGGTGACCACCGTGGGGGCCTTTGCCCTCCCTCCGACGCCCTGACCTGCAGCGTTAAACAGCTCTTCCTCCGACGGAGGGGAATTGCCGCTCCCTCGCAGCTGCCAGAGTCGCTTACATCAGAGCAGCAAACATTTGGGGCCAAGAAAGCCTGGAACATAAATAAATGATCACTAAGCAAATGCGACTTGGTCTGTTCACTCGGTTGGCTTGCGTGGCTCCCTCTCTCGAGGGTTTTCTCTTGATAAAGTGGATGCCTGAGTGGCAGTGTCTTTGTTTCCCCCCAAAATACGAACAGGGGGTGTCAGGCTGACCGCGAGGTTCCCGGGTCTCTCTGGTGGTGGGTGCGTGCAGAGGTGAGGTCCCAGGCCCCGTCCCAGCTGACGCCTCCGTCCGGGCTGCCCTGTGGACGTGGGTGATCAGAGGTCCCGGGTCTGCACGCGGGCGCCCACCGTTCCTGCACGTAGAGGGGACCCACGGGGTCTGCGGGCCTGGCTCAACTCTCCAAGGGGAACGGCTCCCCCAGGAGGGCGCCACGTTCACAAACGCACGCAGGTGACTGTAAGCCTCTAACCCAGTGGTTCTCAACCTTCCTCATGCCGCCACCCTTTAACACAGTTCCTCAGGTTGTGGTGACCCCCAATTTCATTGTTACAAATTGAACATAATTAAAGCACAGTGATTAATCACAAAAACAATATGTAATTATATATGTGTTTTCCGATGGTCTTAGGCGACCCCTGTGAAAGGGTCATTCGACCCCCAAAGGGGTCTCGACCCACAGGTTGAGAACCGCTGCTCTAACACGACTGTCAGGTGGGGGCGATGAGATTTGCTGAGGGACTGCACTGGGGCACGCGAGGGCTGCTCCCGGGACAGACGCCGCAGGAAAACGGGGGGCTCCTGGGAGTGGGATTGGAGGGTGCTGACCTGCAGTGGCCGTGAGGCGTCAGAGGAGCCTGGAGGAGGGACCGGACGCGCACACTATCTGAGCGCCTTGTGTCTGAGCAGGACAGTGGGACGACCTAACCCAACGTGCTCTGTGGCTGTTCTGTTGAATGTTTGGTCTCTTTGCTGATTTTTGGAGCGGAGTCTGTGTGTGGTGTCTGTGCATGTGTGTGTGCACGCGTGTGGGCAGGCATGGGCAGGCATGTGGGCAGGCGTGTGGGCAGGCATGTGTGCACGTGTGTGGGCAGGCATGTGGGCACGTGTGTGGGCAGGCATGTGGGCACGCGTGTGGGTAGGCATGTGGGCTGACATACTGCTGTTATAAGAGGAGGTGCTTGGTACTGACTTCACTGCGGGTGCACAGGTGAACCGGGTGGGTGGCCCCTGCCCCAGAAGCTCACCGACTGCGGCCCTGCAAGCAGCGGTGTCTGTGCTTCACTGAAGGAAGAGGACGGGGCGGGGGACCCCAGTAACATCGCGGTGAACACGCATGGGTGGGGCCTCTGTTGGCCCTTGAATGACTTCATTGGGATGAACCCAGCCGTGACCCGATTGGGTCCAAGGCGGGACCTTTTTCTGATTCTGACCCGTAGAACCTGCTGTGCCACCAGGGCGCCACTCACAGCGTCTGGAGTGATGACACACTCGCTGCCCTTTGTGCGTCGGTGCGGAGCAGTGCCCGGGGTCAGTGTGACGCACCAGCCGTCTCCAGGGCGCTGTTCTGCGTGCACTGGCTCAGTCCCCTTAACGGAGCGTGCATGCTCTTGGTGCTGGAAGCTGCTCTGGCTCCGGGGAGGTGCCCGCGGCCTGCTGCCCCTGTGGGTCCCACAGCTTGTCTCACAGCGTCTGGAGTGATGACACACTCGCTGCCCTTTGTGCGTCGGTGCGGAGCAGTGCCCGGGGTCAGTGTGACGCACCAGCCGTCTCCAGGGCGCTGTTCTGCGTGCACTGGCTCAGTCCCCTTAACGGAGCGTGCATGCTCTTGGTGTCTGAGAAAGTGTGTGCAGCCCCGTCCCCAGGAGGCGCTGTCTGTCACGCCCGATGCAGTGACGTGCCTGTCGCGTCCTCAGGGAATAGCTCTCCTCTTCTGCTGGAAGCTGCTCTGGCTCCGGGGAGGTGCCTGCGGCCTGCTGCCCCTGTGGTTCCCACAGCTTGATCGTCTTCGGGTGACGGTGCTTTCACTCTGCTCTTTGGAATTGTCACCGTGGACTTCACTGTGGATTTTCTCTTGTTGAAATGTCACCCTTTGCTTTTGGAATGTTGATATTTTATTTATTTATTTTCATATTTTCATTGATGTCAGAGAGGAAGGGAGAGGGAGAGAGAGAAACATCAGTGATGACAGAGAATCGTGGATCAGCTGCTTCCCACACACCCCCGACTGGGGATGGAGCCCATAAGCCACAACCCACAACCCGGGCATGTGCCCTGACCCGGAACCTGACTGTGACCTCCTGGTCCACAGGCTGATGCTCAGCCCCCAGCCACCTGGCTGGGCTGCAGTGTTGACAGTTTACATGTTTAGTTTTTTCAGTGGCCGCCATCCAGAGGAGCACTCCCCCCGTCTGCGCACAGGATTTCAGGGGGACACGCGGATGTTGTGTTTGTGTGACAGTCATTTCACCTGCAGAAGAGCTGCGTTTTCAGCGGAGAAACGCCCTCTGAGCACCTCTCTCCTGGGCAAAGGGCTGGATTTGCGCTGCGCGGGCCCCGCGGTAGAATCGATGGGGCAGATTGGGCTCAGTGTAAACAGACACCTAGTGACCAGGCTGCTGTCCACCGACTCGGACGCTGAGGCGGCGTGACCTCCAGCTGCTGGACGTGGGTGGGCACGGACCGGGGCTGAGCTTCTGCGATGGTGAACAACCCAACGTCCTCTTCTGTCCACTAGATGGTCCAGCACTCATTACAGCATCCAGACGGCAAGGAAGGACTTGTTCAGAGAGAGGATCACGGGGGAAGGGGGGGTGCGGGATGGTGGCAAACGGGAGACGCCGTGACCAGGAGGCCCGCAGGCCTCGTCCACTAGGCCGGTGGGCTCCGCTGAGGGACGGCGCCCAGGCAGAGGGAGTGGGTGTGGGAAGTGGGGCGAAGGGGGCAGGATGGGGTCGGAGACCACAGGACACTTCTCCTGGGCCCAGCCTGTTCCGGGGGCAGGCGCTGAGCCCTCTGCTTCTCCGGCAGATGGTGTCCCAGCGTCCAGGGCCCCGGAGGGAAGCTAACACGGCTTCTTCTGAGTTGCCAGCGTTGAAAACAATTCAGCTAACCATGGAGGAAAGGGGAATTTGAAGGGTCTGCGCCTGCTCACGGGAAACGGGCACCGGTGTGTCTCCTCCCAGCCCTGCAAGAGGGAGGGAGCCTTTGCAGCCAGCGTTTTCCAGAGCACAGCAGGGTGTGTGTGCGCGCGCGCGCATGTGTGTGCACGTGTGCGTGCGTGTGTGCACGCGTATGTGTGCGTGCGTGTGTGTGTGTGTGGGGGGGGGCTTGACCTTCAGATAAAATTCACGCTGGCGAGACGTTCTCAAGTTGTATTAGCTTCTTGACAGTGAGCTTCCCAGTGGCCGTTAAGCTTCCCCTGGTCACGTGTCCAGCCCTGGACGCTCCATTAGCCACAGGGTTGAAAGTGGCAGGACAGAAAGTGGCCGTGCCCAGGGAGGCCCATCTCCCAGAGTTCCACGGAGAAGGGCGTTTCCAGAATCGCCACTACAGACCCGTACGTCCTGAGTTGGAAATGTGCAGACTCCAAGGCACCCAGCGGCCGTGGCAGGAGTAGAGACGCAGACATGCTGAAGGTGACGCGATGCGATTTGCTGAGGGACTGCACTGGGGCATGCGAGGTGCTCGGGTGAACTTCGGAGCTTGGCCCGGGCCGCTGCAGGAGGGGCCTGGTGTCTGTGGAGAAGAGTGTGGGCGGGCACAGCAGGATGGGGGCGGGACGAGCTAGGTGGTCAGGTTTGGATGTGTTGAGTTCTATACGCCAGCAGAGATCCACGGGACGTTGTCCAGCTGGTGGTTGGGGTCTGGAAGTCAGAGGGGGGGCCCGGGCCAGGGAGGTGAATGTGGAAGTGACCTTTGGGTCATCCTGCCCAGAGGCCAGGTGTTGGCCTTGATCTTGGGTAAAGTCATTGGTTGGCTGAGATCAGCAGTGGTCCCCTGGGCCCTCGCGGGTGGGTAGGATTTGGGACTGAGGTGGGCTTGTTCTCCTCCCAGACGTTCCCCTCTGCTCCGTGAGCAGGCTGTTCTGTGACCAGGGCTATTCCGTGAGCAGGGCTGCTCCGTGACCAGGGCTGTTTATTCCGTGACCAGGGCTGTTTATTCTGTGACCAGGGCTGTTTATTCCATGAGCAGGGCTGTTCCGTGAGCTGACATTCCGATTTGCTGATGATCTTCACGGGTTCTGTGGGCCTTGGGCGGACGTCAAGGTTGACTGGGTGCAGCGTATTGGGAGGTTCCAGTGTCCTCTGTCTTTCTTCCCAGCGGCTAATTCGTTTCCAGGAGGGACTCTGCGGGAGGACAATCCCCCAATTACATGGAGAGTGAACCTGGGCAGGAAGTGTCCCTCACTCATGAAGAACCCCAGGCTGGAAGCAGATCCAGGGCTGAGAGGGGGACCCAGTGGTGTCCGTGTGCCCAGCAGCAGGCAGGGAGCAAGCTGATTCGCTAGCCCTACTAAGTGTCAGTGTCTGTGCTGTGTGCTGAAGCATCAACAGAAAATACGCTGGGTTCTGGTCGCAGGGCAGATGGAGCTGAGGTCCATGAAACTCCTATTGCAAATGCAAAAGACGGGAGACACGCGTATATATGGACATAGAGTTTGTGTTGCTTTTGAAATATGTAGCCTAGTTTGAAAGAAAAACAAAGTAAAGTCCCTGAGGTTCTAGAATGAAGAGAGAGGTGTAAGCCAGGGTAATGTTGGGCCGTGAGGCCGCAGTGACGCGGCCTGGCTCGGGCCCCCGGGGACTGTGCGACGGTCCCTCGTGGGGACCAGGGGCGGGAAGAGTCGCTGTCGTGTCGCTGAGCCTGGAGGTCAGCAGCGTCCCTGCACCAGGGACAGCCGGTCAGAACGTGTAATCAGCCGGGCGACTGAGTGCTTCATTGTCACCCGAAGGACAGAGGAAACTGTCTGAATATTTTTACTCCCTTTCCCACGCTTAATTTGTTATAATGACCATTCGGTGTTAAACCCAAAGAAACACCAAGTTGAAGCTTTTACAATGGCATGATGACCAGATTCCTTATGTAAGAAATCAAAGGTCTTGCATTGCTTCAGAGGAAAATTCAGCTCTTGGTTACCCATCCCTGGGGATGAAAGGGGAACTTGGCCCTGACTGGGTTGCTCAATGGTTGGAGCGCTGTCCTATGCACCAAAAAGTTGTGGGTTCCACCCCGGTCAGGGCCCCTGCAGGAGGCAACCAATGGACATTTCTCTCTCTCTCTCTCTCTCTCTCTCTCTCTCTCTCTCCTTTCCTCCCCTCCTCTCTCCTTCCCTCTCTTTAATAGCAATAAAAACATTAAATGGGAGCCTGTAGACCAGTGGTTCTCAGCCTTCCTAATGCCGCGACCCTTTAATACAGTTCCTCATGTTGTGGTGACCCCCAATTTCATTGTTACAAATTGAACATAATTAAAGCATAGTGATTAATCACAAAAACAATATGTAATTATATATGTGTTTTCCGATGGTCTGAGGCGACCCCTGTGAAAGGGTCGTTAGGTCCCCAAAGGGGTCGTGACCCACAGGCTGAGAACCGCTGGTGTAGATGATAGTGACCAGAAGCCAGAGAAAGGGACTTTGTTAGGTCGTCTGTTTTCATTCTGAGTTCAACCAAAGCCGGGGATGCTGTTCCCAGACTGATCCCATGTGTCACCACG